GCTTTGTTCATGAAGTTTAGTGGTCTGCTTCTATCAAAACATTCCCTATACATCCCCTTGTATTTTAAAAAATGCAACCAAATGATCCAAGGGGGAGCAATGGGCAGTTTATTAGGACCCAGTGCTTTTTTCCAAAGCAAAGACATCAGTTAGATCACAGATTGTTTGACTTCCCTTTTCCCATTGGTGAGCCTATGTGAGGTATTAGGGCCTGATCCAAAGCCTAAAATCTATTAAAAGATTTCACGTGCCTGAGATCTATTAATTTAATGGAAGAGCAGTTTATGGTTATGAATAATTATTTATATTGCATGAATGATCACAGGTCCTAACCTAAATTTGGATTGGTGTCTCATTATACTAGGACATGCAGAAACACACGGAAGGATCTAATCCTTGCCTCAGAGCTGACAATCTAATGAGACTTGCTAAAATGAGTCACACTAATGGAAGCTTATTATTTATGATTCATATTAATTGGAAGCTTGCTTTGTCCCCATGTCTATTATCCCTTAGAAACAGAAGAGGTCTGATTTGGCTCTTAACATTTACAAAGTCAATCCAATTCTCTTGTCATGAAGATTGCTTTTTCAGTTTCCTAGGAATAACAGTGAAGCAGTTCAGCATCTGGCTCTCCTAAATTTGTCAAGGGTTTTTCTTTCCCCCTTCCCCTTTTTAATTGTTTGAGTAAGCAGTTAAAAAGCCTCTTACGAAAGCCTTCAAGGCTTCATCACACACCTTGAGTCACGTCTCCTGTGCAAATGGCTTCTTTGAAAACATAAATATGGGAGCTGATAGCCAGTAAACAGCTCTCCATAGGGGATAGTGGCATGCACTTTGGGAATATATGTAAACTGACTAACACCGCTATTGCTATCAGACAAGAGTCTGGGTTATTTTTCAGAGTCTGTTTTATGAAGTTTACTGTAGGGTATCTAACAGGCATGTCTAAATTGGGTGGAGGCTTATCCGTGGTAGAGAAAACACAGTGTTTTAGATTAGGTGGTGCTCTCTGCACATCTACTAACTCTAATTCAGCTATAATAGATACAGATACGGTCTATTTTCATGGTCTATAGCATCCTGAGAATATTACCTTTTTTCCCACTTGAACATCATGACAGAAATTAAAGTCACCAAAGTAATCATTATAATACATTTGTGGCCTAGCTCTAAAAATGACTTTTTGAGCAATACATAATTTCAGAACCTAGCATTATCATTACAGTACATGTATTTGCTCTTTCATTCTTTCACCATCTTGCAACATTTTAAAATCACCATATCGTTATTATGAGGAAAAGGTTCAGAAAAGGGCAACAAAAATGATAAGGGGTTTGGAATGGGTCCCATATGAAGAGAGATTAAAAAGACTGGGACTTGTCAGTTTAGAAAGGAGGAGACTAAGGGGGGATATGATAGAGGTTTATAAAATCATGACTGGCGTGGAAAAGGTGAATAAGGAAAAGTTATTTACTTATTCCTACAATAAAAGAACTAGGGGTCACCAAATGAAATTAATAGGCAGCAGGTTTAAAAAAAACAGAATGAAGAAAAACTTCCTTTAGCATACAGTCAACCTGTGGAACTTTAACAGACTTTAACAGACTTTAACAGGGTTAAAAAAAGAGCTAGATAGATTCATGGAGGTTAGGTCCATCAATGGCTATTAGCCAGGATGAGTAGGAATGGTGTCCCTAGCCTCTGTTTGTCTCTAAATAGGTGACAGGAGAGGGATCATGTGAGGATTACCTTTGGGGCATCTGGTGTTGGCCACTGTTGGCAGACAGGATACTAGGCTAGATGGACCTGTGATCTGACCCAGTATGACTGTTCTTATGTTATGTTCTTAATCTTTTCCTCCAACATTTCCTATCTTTGGCTTCTGCTGATAATTTGTACTTTCTACGGGTGTCTTATAGGTGACAAGCAAAATATAGTAATTGACCCTCTTTTGTCTGAGGTAGGTCTTACCTTGAGCCCATGTAAGCAATCATGCACAGAGACTTGTTCCTTTTGATAGCCAGGGCAGCCACACTATAAATCCTGGAGGCAAGTGCAATAAATATTTCTAGTATCAATGCAATATAGAATCATAGAACTGAAAGCATCTTACCTCACAAGGTCATCAAGTCCAGACCCCTGCACTCATGGCAGGACCAAACACCATCTAAACTATCCCTGCCAGGTGTTTGTCTAATCTGCTACTGGTTTAGTCATCCTTGTGTATATTCCCCCAAGAATGACACATCAGGAGTCACATAAAAAGGAACTTTACTCCCAGTCTAGAAGAGATAAAAGATGTAAGAAAGGAGATAAAAGGCAACGGTTAGTTAGCACATTGACTACTTCAGTTAAAGGGGTACACTAAACTGCATTAAGAAATATATGAAGAAATAATAATGTGGGTGTATAAATACAAATTAAGAATTCTAATATCTGATTGGTCAGAATTAATTCTTTCAGTCTACAAATCATCTAATTCTCATAGCCTACATGGTCTTGTAGGTCAGGGAAGTCAACAGCTTCTGCATGCCCCTGGGCAAGGTGTGGGGTGTGGGGAGGACTGGCTCTGTGTCCCCAGAAGGGGCAGGGCCTCAGGTGGAAGGGACAGGGCTGAGGGTAGCCTGCACAAAGCACCCCCTTTTTTCTCCACTCATCTGAGGAAGTGGGTTTTGCCCACGAAAGCTCATGATACTTTCTCTCTTTTTCTAAATTGCTAGTCTCTCATGGTATGGCTACACTGAATTCCTCTTTCAAGAGAATGCATGCATCTGAGTGAAATTGCAAATGAAGCATGGATTTGAATTTCCTGTGCTTCATTTGCATAATCGCGGCCAGCCGCTTTTTTGAAATACCGTATTTCGAAAGAAAAAAAACGCAGTCTAGATGGAGTTATTTAGAGAAAAAAACCTTCTTTCAAAATAACTCTTACTCCTTAAAAAATGAGGTTTAAGGATTATTTCGAAAGAAGGATTTTTTTTAAATAGCCCCCGTCTAGACTGCGTTTTTTTTCTTTCGAAATACGGTATTTCAAAAAAGCGCCCGGAAGCAATTATGCAAATAAAGTGCAGGAAATTCAAATCCACACTTTATTTGCCATTTTGCTCGGATGTATTTGCATTCCTCTCTGAAAAGAGGAATGCAGTGAAGACATACCCTAAGGTGCTTCAGGACTAGCACCAACTAGTTATCAACTAACATGGCTACCCTTCTGAAATTTATAAAGCCATTAGTTACTGTCATTTATTGAATAGCAAGGGATATAATCCCATGGTTTACTAATTAAAATGTTTCAAAAAATAGGTCACTGTTTTTTTAAAAAGTGAGCAAGTCAACAGCATGAATTGTTCCTTATGTCATTAAGAAATGCACGTAACCATTACATTTATATTGCATCAGCTCAAAAGGCCCTATATACAAGTGATAAAGTATAAGTTAAGACAGTTCTTATTTTTCCCATGAAAGATCATATGGAATTTAAGAGTAAATGATAATCTTTTTTAGGTTTCTGAACACCCTTGCTATAGAAGTTAATAAGATGGTAAAAAACCTACACCGTTGAGTCCTGACTGGTCCCATACCAAAGAATCTGCCAGACCAGGGGAAGTCAATGCTGACTCCTCTGCAGCTGCTAGCTGCAGGCCCTCAGCTGTCAGCAGCAGCAGAGCGGCCTGCACTGAGGGAGTGGGGACTTAGGGAGCCGGTGCTCAAGAGAAGAGGCAGGGCGCAGATGAAGAGTTTGAGTGTGAGGCCAGCTTTTCCTCATGAGTGCTCCAGCCTGGGAGCACCCACAGGGATGCTGGGCCACAGATGTTGTCGGCCTATAGACTATTGAGGTCCAACCTGTATTACACTTTATAGGATTTTGAAATAATGTGTATAGAACCCTATAGGTTTCATCTCTACTAAACTCAATAGAGCTTTTCCAAAATGTTATTGGGTTTTATAGTTAAATCTATTTTAAAATAGAAGAGCTTGTTAAAAGCAGTAGTTTTAAGTCAGACATTTAATTTTAAAATAATTTTTATTTTTAACTGGTCTTGGATTTTCTGAAAACAATTTCAGAGGATTGTACTAGGAAAATGAATGGAGCAGCCTTGAAGCGATGTACCTATGTTTCTAATTCTGCCATGCAACACAAGAGTGTTTTCATAGCTATGCAGTGGCAAAATTCTTATGACATTGAAATGTGTGCTTACAGAGTGTTGGATCTACTTATACGAACCCCTTTTACCACCAAGAAAATGTTGAAAGAGAAAGTTTAAAAATTATATGTAGAATAGTATTTAGCAAAGATGGCTCAAAAGCAATTTACCACAAACTGATATTTGACTGTGGCCCTCCTGGTCAGAAATGTCTGGTTGTAGCAAAGATAATTCTTGCAGCAACCAAGAGTCCTCCTCCCTCCCCACCCCAACCCCCATTGCTATAGTAAACCAACCTCCGTGAGAGGAAATAGCTGGACTGTCAAAATAATTTTTCTATTGACTAACATTGTATAAAACGTGGGTTAGGTTGGTATATTTTTCACAACCGAGGTAGCTAGACTGATCCACGTTTTGGATGTAATACAAGGCTTACAGACGGTGTCTAAAAGCCACTACAATTAGTAAACAGTAGGGAAACACTTCTAGCCACACCGGTCAGTAACAAGTTGCACAGCAAGTGAAGGAATGAATACGTGATCCTGACAGTGCTGGAAAATGATGTCATGAGCCTCGGCGTAGAAATCAATGCACATTAGTGAACGTGGGAACTGAACATTTTGTCCCTCCTCATTTCCCACCCAATCTGAAATGAGGCCAATTTAGTGTCCAATGCAAACTAGCCATGGCTTGATATCTTTTTAGCCAATCAGGAGTGAGTTCTGACTTTGGCGCTTCCTGATCAGGGCCAGCTGGTGGGGGGCCGGGGAAGCGTTAAACGCCAATGTGCAAAAGCCGGGTGCTCCGTAACAGCTTAGTAACAGCCTTGCCCCATGTTGCAATGAAAGAAGAGGCGCCACTAGGCCCCAGAGGGCAGTAGCCGCTCGGAGACATCCAGGCTTTGAGCTTGTTCCCAGCAGGTCGCGGGCAGCCCGTGCACCCGCAAGCGCTACAGGAGCAAAAGGGGAGGAATGTGATGACAGCCAATCAGGGTGGCCCGTTCCCTCGAGACGTCATACTCCCCAGCAAGCCCCAGAACCTGCAGTAGCAATAACAATAACAGAGCCTGTCAGCTGCTGGCCACTGATCCGCCCGCCCTGCGTACGTGGCCGCAGTCAGCAGCTGCAGCAGCAGCGGCCCCCGCCAGCCGCGTCGGGACGCGAGAAGCGCAGGCTGAAAATAGCAGCGCCTGCCCCGAAGAAGCCGGAGACAATGTCGCAGGGCGAGGGACTCAGCCAACCGGAGGAGAATTTGCACGGTAAGAGCCCCCCTTACTAGCCAGGGTTAGGCCCCTAGTGCAGGCCCCCTAAGGGAAGCGCCCCACCCCCATTCCATCAGCCTGCGGGGACCTCACCACTGGCTGTCCGGAATGGGAGCTGTTTGGGACTCCGGTTCCCTTTGTTGATAGCCCGTGACGCCTTCGCAAGACAAGATCTGCTGTTAGGCGCAATAAATAACCCTGCAGTAAACACGACACTTGACAAGCAGGGGGTAGACTGCCCCTGCCAGCGCTGGTAAATGGATGGTGATCGGTCCTTCATGCGCAAGGACTGTCGTTGAATCCAAGTAGTGTGGGATTGCGTACGGGCTTTATTGTACCTTGTCTGGAGCTAGGGTTAATGTGAGCAATTTAGAAATCACAGTCAATGAGGTATCTCGTTACACGCGCCGCCTTTCCCCACCCCCATGCAGTGAGGTTGCCATTAGCAGCAATCCAGTTATCACAAACATGGCAGGTACACTTACGGTTTCATGGATGGCTAGCTGTGGGATTAAGAAAGAAAAGCACCTTCTTGCCAGCTCCCTGATATAATTGATGTTCCTTAGACCTGAAACTCCATGGGACAGATGTGATGGATTTGGGTCGTTTTGGAAGCACCCTATTTTTTGTTGTTGGAAATAAATAATAAACATCTTTTTATGTTCAGATTTACCTATTCTAGTTTGACATATCCCCACAGCAAACCATAATCCTTTGGCTGAATATATTTTTCTTCCACAACAGAGGAATGGAAGAATGAGAGATAGGATTTTAATAAATAAGCGTGTTTTACCATGGGTGACAAAAAATGAAATCAGGGCTTATATTTGCCATACTTAAAAATATTGAAATCAGTTTGCAGAAGATATTTTATGAATTCTCCCTTATTCACCTCAAATTGGGAAATGCAGGTATTTCCTGCATACTTTGCAGATTTGAAAATAAAGATCAAAAAGTCTAGCTTACATTCCCAAATCTTCTCTATGATTTCACTGTGTGTCAATGTGAAAGACAGAGAGGTGTGGTTATTTAATTGCCTAAACTATATATAATGCCAGTTATTTTACCTTGTCATTTTAAGGGTTAGAAGTTTTGCACGTAGCAAAACCACAAGATGGTGTTTCATAACTCTCTCAGCCCTGGAAGATTTAAAAAAAAAAGATTCAGATGGTCTTATTTCTCTATCACTGATATGTACAGATAAGACACACACATCATAAAGGGACTTAGCCTGATATGTCTTTTCCTCACCTGGTGGTTGGAAAGGTAATAATGGTAAACATTATACATAAATATTTGTGTGTGCACCACATTTGGACTGGAACATTAAGACAAGTTTGCATGATAAGCTCATGATTACATTTGGGATATAAATATGCAGTTTCCTTTGGAAGTAAGGTTCAATTTTATGTATTTTAATTTTATAGTATTTCTGGTAGGAGATTCTCAAGGCTCATGAAGAGAGACAGACAGCTGCTTCTCTATCAGGGAAGTCAAGGCTGGCTCAATGTCTTGGTGACCAAAAAGTGAACATAATTCTGAATAGGAATGGAACACATTTAAAAAAGCACTGAAATCTAAATCACACAGCCGCACACCAACAAGAGAGAGCTAGATTAGGATAGAGTTTCAAGAGACGTGCACTCTCGTAAAGAACAGAATGTGTTATTTGTGAGACAAAAAGTACTAAGTCAGAGGTAAGAGGTTATGCATTCAGATGTGATCTAGTGTAATTGCACATGCTCCTTGTATTTGGAATGTTGGAAGTGCAAAGGAGTTTGTTGAGGAGCTGAGGAATAAGACAACCGTCAAAGCATGTGAAGGACAGTTGTTTTAAATGGGGACTTCACTGATATTTGTGATAGAGAGAGAGAGGGACTGGCATTCTGTGCACACTGAATTTTGTCTGCTCTCAGAGCAATTTGTCATTTCAGACATCAGAATTTTATGCAAATGTTCTGTGGCAGTGACTAACATTGGAAGTATTGCACTAAAGATATTCACAGATCCAATAATATCCCACTAATTATTCCATCTTTGGCTTGTCTCATGCTAGCCTTTATTTTTGTGTAATATTGCCTAGTCCAGTGCACCAGTCAGTCTTATTTTTTTCCCTTCAAGTGCCTCCCCATAACTCATTCCACTCAGGTTGCCTTCCAGCTCTCAACCTCTCCTACCTACATATCTGTTTATGTTCCTGGTTTTTTATTAAACATCAGCCTTCAGTATCTAATCACTATTGCAAGAGCTCACTTACAGTAATCTATCTATAACACCAATCACTAAAAGATCCAATATACAAAGTCATAATCAGGGACTGTGTTTAGTTGACATGTGAAGCAGTTTTGAATGGCTGTGGAATTGTATAAATAGGAAATCGATGAGAGCTGGAACTTTGATAATTTTAACACTTATCAGCACTGGCCATTATCCAAAGTTTTGCCTGTACAGCACATACAGATTAGGTCCGGATCTCTTGCATCATGAGAGAACAATGTTAGAACATGTAGTGTGATCTTGTTCAAAGAGTAAATGATGGAACTATGATCTAACTCAGTTGCAACAGAAGGCTCCTAACACTTGTATATGTAGTGTAGATGGGCCCTTAAAGGTGGCACTAGTAAATCAACTCCTAGATGTTAGCACAACATGGCAGTAGAGCAAACAGTGAATTACTTGTGTTTTTTCACTTGTTTAAGATGGCTTAATGTAGCTGTCAGCGCTGTTCCTCATTCTGGCACTCCAAGTGCAGAAGGTGTCGGCCTGCAAGAGACATTAAATAACTTCCCTCTGTAGGCTCTGCTTACAAAAACTTCCCAGAGTCACAGATTTACTGATTTTGAGGGGTAGCTGCCACCACCAAGTAAAACAAATCCCTTTCTTCTTGATCCCAGGAAAAAAGCACTTGGACTTCCTTCCCGAGTACCCCATGCTCCTCTGCCACAAGAGAGCTTGAAAAAAAGAAACAAAAGAAAACCAACTGTGTCTTTGATAGCTGACCTCTCAAGATAGGCAGACACACACACAGACACCCTCTTTCTTTCCAGGACACAACAAATCGCCTTAAAAAAGGTGATTTTATTAACAAAACAAAAAGATATATTTAGTAAAGCATACTTGGTTGCTAGGTGTTACAGAGCAATGAGTAAAACAAATTAAAACACAGAGAACACCTCTGATATGCTCTTAGTGAATGGGGGAGGGAAGGCATAGATTCTCACAGAGAAGTTTAACCAAAGAACCCAAGCAATAAAAATGTCCTAATTGTGACTAAATACACATTTTCCCTTTATTTACTCATGACCGTTTTCTGGTTCAGTCCACTTACATGCCCTGAATTCCTTGTAGGCATGGCAATTCTGATTACTGCCTGTTAGATGTCTAGCCCTTAACTTAGAAGTCACACAAAGAAAGAGCAGACCAGGTATCTATATACAATTCAGATTTCAGCACTGTATCCCATTGGTTCTTCTGGCCCCCTATCAACACCTCATTGGTTCTTCTGGCCCCTTACCAGTGGCCTTCCTAGCTACTTGAGTTTAATCCCCTAGTCACTGAATGCTGGCCAGCAATCCTATCCATCACAATAGCCATTTACTTTCATCAGATACTGCTATGCATTCTAACTGCAGGACTACAGAAATGTTTCAAAGTCTAAAATCAGTCATGAGAGCAATTAATTATCACTGTTTATCTAGTCTTTAATTTGTATAAGTATTCTGACATTCTAGAACTCAGAGAATGAGTAGCCACTCGCAGTCAGAGAAGAATGTTGGGTAATTACTGTGATAAAAAAGTTTAGAATCTTTTCAGACACTAACCTAGCATTAAGATAACATATTTCAAGGTCAGAGCACTGTAAACATTATTTAAATAAATAACTCTATAAATAGATGTGTCCAGGTCCCAATAATAAGGCATGATAAATCATTGCAGTACAACCCTGACAGCATGTAAGGTAACAGTTGGTACACTGCATGCTGGTACACTGCAAAAGCTAACTATATTTCTGGTGTGGTTTGGACAATAGTTTTTATATTTATACTTCTCTGGTATGCTAGCTCAAATCAAAGATTTGGCTTATAATTTAGTAGATGACTTACGGACCAATATGATTGTAGCATGCAAACAGTCTGTACTGTATGACTGACGTTTGGGTTATGTGATTATCACCAGTGCACCATCTAGTAACAAGCTAATTTGTTTCTTGTAAAGGTGAGTACAAACAGGCATAGTTTCAGTAATTTCTTTTATATCCTATGACTAGTAGATGGAAGAGCAAAAGGTGAGAGGGGGCTGGAAAGAGACATTGGAGCAAAGCAGGGCAGGATGGGAGCCAAATGATAGGATCAGAACTGTTGAAGATACAGGAGCCAGGGCCAGTAAGGCCACATCTCAGGGGTGGCCCATGCCTATAGGCAAACTCGGCAGCCACCTAGGGCACTGAGTTAAATGGGGTGCCAAATTCCCTGCCACTTCCCCTTCTCCTAATGCCTGGCTTCGGCCCCAGGGGAGGAGGCGCATGGGGGTTTCCCTGCGCCACAGGAGGAGAGAGGTCGGCCCTGGGGGAGGCACGCACTGGCTTCCCCTGCGCCGCGGGGGGGAGAGGGGGGCCGCCCCCGGGGA